ATGTATAATCGACCCTCACTATCATTGTGAATCAAATATCTTTTCCACAGCCCACGTGGTACCCTTAACAGAGTGCTATTAGCAAAGGCAATATGCCTTAAAGTGCCAATACACAGGCATGAATCCAAAGCAGAGAGAAGTACTTACAAATTGATTATTATTGATTTGATGAGAGCATCTCTCCAGCTATAGCTACTCTTTAGTGATGAGGTACGGATATTGGTATTGGTACGATATGGATATGTCGATATGATAGGAAAGTTTAGTACGCTTGTAAAAAAAATATTTATTTTTAACTTAGAATAATGTAAAAATTAATTAAATAATTTAATTTGTTAAGATTCAAGCTACAATTAACATTTAATACCAAAAGTAAAGGTATAAATTAAAATTAAATGTCAATAAATTAAATAACTTACAAACTAGGGCAAAACACCAATAAATTCCAAATTTTAATATGTTAAACCATTTGGTCATGCCTTTTATTTTGTAGATTAATAAGTCATATTTAAATGTTAAAAGCTCGCTATAGGCCTTTTTTAAATTTCCCTCTTTTCCGAACATTAGCAACATTAACTACACCAACAACATCATCAAACATCAACTACATCATAAAACATCATCAACATTGATCAAACATCAACTACATCATCAAACATTATCAAATATCATCAACATCACCAACATTATAAAACGTCATCAACATCATCAAACATCAACTACATCACCAAATATCATCAACAACACCAACATCATAAAACATCATCAACAACATCAAACATTAACTACAAAATCACCAACATTGTGAACATCATCAAACATCAACTATATCTTCAACCTCATCAAATATCATCAACATCACCAACATCATCAACATCATCAAACATCAACTACATCATCATACATCACCAACATCACCAACATTGTGAACATCATCATACATCAACTACATCTTCAACCTCATCAAACATCATCATACACCAATATAGGATACAATATATAAATGTTTATACAATATAACAAATAAAGATACCATACCAAATATAAAATATAACAAACAAAGATACCATACCAAATATAAAAATGACTAAATGGTTTATAAAAAAACACTCAAAACTAGATAGAGCAATATTTCCCAATATGAGATTTATGAGTAATTTTTCCTACAAACTATAGTTTAGTTTTAAAAACATGTTAAGCATAAAAATAAAAATAAAAATAAATCTAGTGAAATTGAGTTTTATCTTTGTAGTAGAAGAAAATATTATTTCAACTAAGTTATGGTACGACTTGAGTATATAGTAAATACGTCTTGATATGTCAAAAATTAATAAGAAAAAATTTAGATATATGTTTCGTGTACCGAAACATATATAGAAGTACTATACGAAGTACCATACCGATAAATATCCAATACAAATACGAGATGTTTTTTTCGAAATACCCATAATTCATAGGTCTTTTTTTTACCTATTTCAGTTGTTTTCATGAAATTCCATTCCATAGTGTTAGACCAATTCTTTTAAATATATAGCCAATTGGAATCAGCTGCTTGAGTGCGCATTTGCCCCAAAAAACAAAGTTAGGAAGAATCCATACTCAAGGCATATATGCTAAAGCAAACCCCGTCCTAGCTCTCATCTCTCTCTCTCTGTATCTTATATAAAGCCTTCATGCACACTACAGAGGAGAGAGACACAGAGAAAGAGAGATGGAATGGCTGTACCCAAAGAGGAGAGGTCCAGAATGGAAACAGGGGTGGACAGGGCAGACATTGGCCTCCATCTCCATCCCTCCATTCCCATTGCTTGCCATCTTCGCCATTGTCATCTTCTTGTTGTCACTCTCCCAATACACAAACTACAAGGCACAGATGCAACACACCATGATCAACTTGCAGCTCTTCCTCTTCCTGTTGCCCATACTGCTTATCGTCATCATGCTTTCAGGATTAACCAGTGGCAGGTTCAACTTCTGGTTTTTGCAGTCGGAGCACAACCCGACTCACCGGAGTGAACGAGGAGGAGGAGGTTCACCTTGGGGTGTTGCCATCTTGGTGGTGGTGCTTCTGTTGTTGGTTTCTTACCAGTCCTCATTTCATTCCAAGTGGTTTGGATCCGTATGAAGGTCAGATTAGTAATTACACGTGAGATCTCCGTATTTGTATTTAGTAATAAAAAAATCAGACAAAAAATTTGTTTATGTATAACATTAAAAAAAAAACCTATATGTTAGATAAAGAAAAGAGTTTGAAACCTTATGACTTACATGTAAATGTGAAAGTGGATGTGTTTCATTTTGTTGATGCGGGTATGTTAATGTTGATGTTAATTCCAATTTTTGGTTTGTTTTATTTTTATTTTTGTATTTATAAGTTTTTTTTTTTGAAAATATAGTACATGTCAATTTTTGGGTAGCATATTGTATTTTTTATTCCTTTTTAGATCACACGAACCTGTCCTGCTCTACTCTGCATTCATGGTTCTTCATGGGACGTGGCATGGGAGGGATCACGGATGGTACTCTATTATTTGTCAAGCTTTGAAGAATTTTTTAGATAATATCACACACATACAACATTGAATAATTTTCGCTTTCAGTCATTTTCTTCTCTTCTGTATTCGATTACGTTGTCTTTGGTTAAGAGATTTGAAAAGATAAAGAAAAAAGTTAAGTGGAATATGAATAAAATATACATATATTTTATTTAATTTCACATATTTTTTTTTTATTTATTAAATTTCTTACCAAATTCCCTAACCAAATATGCCTTAAGAAAAATAATATAAACATATTATTAAAAATATGCACAAAACATAATATTAACAGACACGATATTCATCTTGAATAGAAGTCAATTCCACAAGATCGAAGCATTTTTTGCCCTTTTATGTTTTTTCAAAAAATAATTAAATTATGTGTTTAGCTCCATTCTCATATATTCATATACTCATATAGTGAGGAAAAAATAATAAATAAAAAATAAAAAAAAAGACTGAATATCCAAAGAGGAGATCAAATTGTTTGTCCTTGTCTCTGTTGTATCTTGTTCCAAATTATCTCTATACTCTCCCTTTATTTTTGGATTGTTTTGGAAAGTTAAAAAAAAAGTTAGCTTTTTAATTTTTTTAATTTTTATTTTTTTAAAAAATACATTGCAAAAATATAAAGAAATGATATGACAAAAAATAAATTAAAAATTAACTTTTGGCTTTTAGCCGTCTTTCCAAAAGAGGCCATAGAAATAATTTCATTTCAGTGTAAATTTAGAAATGTATTTTCAAATTAATGATGATTTTATAAGTATTAAAAAGTGAAATCAAAAAATTTTTGATGGATGTGCAAGACAAAATAGATTAAAATAGCATTAAAAAACAAAATAGTACTAAAAGTTTTGATTTTTTTGGCTAAAATGGTACTGAAAAAAGACCAAATGAGCAAAAAAATATTTAAAAAGACAAAATGTCACATTAAATCTATAATAATTTCACTTTTTCTCTCATAACTATCATATCTAATTACAAAAAAGATTCAACTTTTTTTTTTTCCGAATACAACTATTTTAACAAATTAAAATAACTTAATAAAATAGCCAACTACCCAAAACACCCACCAAATTGAACAAATTTCACTCACACGAAATTTTCCCTTTTTATTATCCCTCGTCTTAAACTATCTTTGGGATTCCCTGTGTCCAAACAGCTCCAAAATCATGCCAATAATTTCTCCAAGTGATGGGTCAAGGACTGAAATGTCATTGGGCCACGACCCCAGTGGTAGGTATGGTAATTGAATATAACAGTTGTAATCAAATGTAAATCAATTCATTAATCAAGTCTTATGCTATGACCCACCACGATAGATTGTGTCCTTCAGCCCAGTTACATATGTTACGTAACATTCTGGATAACTCATAGAAAAATAGTATCAATTCATTAATCATAGAGAACACGCCAAAAAAAAAAAAAAAATTAATTAAATTAAGATATTAATGGAGTTTAATTAATATTTACATCGCTATCAAGCTAAAAATCTTGCTCATTTCCGGCCATCATGCCAATTTGTCTCACTTATAGTTTTTAATTTTTTTTTTCTTAAGTGGATTGAAAGAAAGAAAATGATACTTATCACGATTTTTTTATTTTTTTCATAGTTTGTATCATGAAATCATTTAATTATTTGCCTAACTTTATTTAACCAAAGAAATTACAAGAATTGAAAGAAAACACTTTACTCTTCCAAGTTTTATGTAATTTTGAAGTGTTTTAAGCATTGCACTTTATAAACACTTACGTGCTTCGCATTTTAAGAAATAAGATTTTTCGAGAGCTAAAATGAAACTTTTAATTATTAGTTGCCTCTTTAAGAGTCAAAATTCCAGACTTGCTAATCAAGACATCATGTTAAATTAGAAGGCAAAAAGTGAAATTTTCCCTTCAATAAACAAAAATAATCAATTAAAATGAACAAATCATGAAAGCATAACAAGTATTTAAATAACAAACGATCAAAATAATTCCACACTAGTTGGCTTGAACCATGACATTTGCTTTTTTAACCACTAATGTTGTGTTTGGTTTGGGGATTTGGAGAAGGATTTGGAAAGGGAAATGGAAAAGGTAGGTGAAATGTGAATAAATCATGCCTATATTTCACATAGTTTCACACACCTTTTCCCTTTTCCTTTCCAAATCTCTCTCCAAATCCCCTAACCAAACACACCATAAGCGATTCAAGCACCAAAAGTAGCAAAGCCAAGTTGATCAACTCATGTCCACCAAGTTAATTACAATTTTACAGTAAATTAAAAAGCTAGTAACAATTATCCAACTAGTTTCATACATCAAACAAGAACCCAAACTTCATATTTACATCAACATGAGTTAGTAACCAGGTCAATTATTTATACATCACCTCTTTTACATTCACATAATCCGATCACATAATCAAAAAGTTATATCCGATTCTAAATTTTTTTTTTAAATAATAACAAAAACGAGTAACCACACAAACCACATACTATATATTTACTTCAAACATGAGAGTAATCACATAGTCAATCTCTAATTTCATCTAATAAACACCACACCTCTTCTACGTGTACAAAATCTGATGAGAGTTGTGTCCGATTCTATCCACTTAGAAATTTTCTAAACACACAACACTTGGCACAATCAATTACCATCTACTCATAGTAAACCGACCAAAACAAGTAAATAGTTATCACACCTTGTAAGCATTAAATAAACCAACCGTCAAGGAAGCTAGACTGGTACTGCACCATGACAAGCAACAGCAAGATCACGGCGGCGACACCCCAAGGAGAGCTCCCCTCCGACGGCTGGTAGTGGGTCCGCCGCCGCCTCTCAAACGGTGACATCCCAAACAACCAATTGGAATCTTCCAGACTAGACAACCAACGAACAACAAATAGTAAAACCACTGGTATGAGCAAAAGAACCCAACCCATGTTCTGTTCTGTGGTCTCAACAACTGACTCGTAAGAAGCATACCATTGGATGCCAAAAAAGAAAAAGATCACAGCTAGGATTAGCAGAACTGGGTATGGAAGAGGATTCAGTGTGAACACCTCCATGATAGAGGAGGCTGTGCTTCTTCTGTATGCCATTAAAGGGAGCTCTTTGTTGTTCTGAAGCTTTGGACTAATTCAAAGGTTTTTGGAGAAGAAAGGGCCAATGTATTTATAGCTTGAAATTACATGGATGACGATTTTGGTAGGTTAGTGGGATAGTGGATTAAAGTTGTGATGGGTGTTTTGAGAGCCGTCGATTTCTCGTTTTGGGTCTTTTGTTCAATGATCAAAACTTTGTGGGGTTGTGAATGGTTTGAAACTCTTTCAAAGTAATGCCAAAAAACAAATCATAAGTTGTACAAAAAAAATTATGTGGCTTAGGTTTATTTTGTGTGATAGGGTACACAAAATGAATTTAGGTTACACTATTTGTTTGGTACTTTTATGGGGAACGTTTTGAGTACAAAACAACTTTAAAATTGTCAAAACGACGTCGTTTTGACAATTTTGAGCCATTTGAGCCACAAAAATTGTGGCCCTCAAACATTTTCCTATATTAAAATGTAAATTTTACCCTCAATTATTTTTGTATCTATATACTATCTGTATTAATTTTAATTATTTTAATCTTAATTAAAATAATATCAATATAATTATATCTAACTTCTAAAACTTTATAGATTTTCTTCTAAACTTCCGAGATGGTTTGTGTGATTTATCCTATATTTTTTATACCTATAAATATTGCTGATATTTCGGAGAGTTCCTAATTGGTAGGACCCAGGTAGACTTGTTCCTTTATCAGGATTAGGTTCAAATAATATCACAATTTTTTAGTCCAGCTTGTCCCTCACCCTAAAAAAACTGTAGACCATGTTTGTTTGGGCGGACTGAATTAGTATTTCCATGATTAATAGTCTTAAAACTACGAATCTGTTAGATTATGTATCCTATCTTAACTAATAGTCAAGTTTAAAATAATTAGTCCGTACTTCAATTGTTTAACCAAATATCAGATTAATAATTTTATTAGACTATTAATTCAATCCCAAACTCATATCCACCCAAACAATTATAGTTTATTAATTATACCTTGATTGACGCCACTCAAGGACACCACTAACTGTAAAGCAAGTGTAAACCATTATAAATATCACCCCCAACAATTATAAGTAACACTCCCATTGAATATCATAATGTGTAGAGGTTCCAATAAAATACTGGTCGAGAAAAATAAGGAAAAGGAAAGATTCATTCATTCTTGGAATCAATTGATCACATTATTAAGACACTTTATTTATTTATATATTTTTATAATTGGTAGAGATAATAAAAAAAAAAAGAAAGTTACGTTACACAATTGTAAACCTCAAACCTAAGCATCACATACCATAAAGGAAAGTCAAAATGAACTCGACATGCTTTCTTAATCATACATATCTTCAGAAACAATCGAGTGCTATCAACAAAAATAATCCACAAAAACTTCAAAAGTTGAGACTTCCTAGATTGAAAGACTGAGCTTAAAGAGAAATTTTCCAAGAGCAATCTATTTCTTTCACGAAATGAAAAGCTATGTTCAAAACAAGAAGGTTATGCATTCCCTATCAAAGTAGAACAATCACCCATCCCCTACTTGAACTTCAGACCTACAACTATTTACCAGTCACCACTCATTTTCCAAAAATTTTAGAGAATTAGAATCAATTAATACATGTAGGATATACTATAATTCAATCCAGGCATCCATATAGTAGTAAAATGAAAAACTGCCAAGTTCACTAGCCTCTTCTTTGTCCAGAAGTTGAGAAGCACAGGCAAATCCTGGGCAGCCTCAATCCTAGATGAAATGAACACGAGGAGATCCTTCTTAAGGGAAAGAATTTCCTTTCTCTCAGTCATTTCTTGGCAAAGCAAAAATGGTACGACTCTGCAGGCTCACAGCAATAAGCAGGAACATGAACAAGTCAATTCTACATGCTTGAAATTATACTTAACTTAAGAAACAGAATTGAATTCTACTAATTGACAAGAACTATCAATCAAAGCTGAGTTCTGAAGATCTTGGAAGATTTCAGAATCGAGACCTCATTTAGGTTGGACATTAGAACATCAGAAAGTAAATTTCCAACAAGAAGATGGTTATGTCATGAAATACAAGCCAGATCAAAGAGGAGTTAGATGATAAATGAAGCAGCAAAAATTTTAAAATAAATAAATAAATGCATTCCAATCAGATAGTGATGCACTGCAGTGATGTGGCTCACATATCAATGTAAAAGACATCTAACAAGCAGAAATTATCATTTCTAGAAAAAAGAGTTGCACTAGTTTACAGCATATATACACTGGCAATAATTGATATCACTTATAGTTTAATGAAATGAGAAAATATCTCCCTTTACATTTGATTTTTTAATTTATAGCTTTGTAATGCGGAACCTTGGTCCAAACAGTGTAATGAATTTAACATAACAACCAGGCTTGCCCTGAAAGATTTTGTAACCACAGCATGCTGTAATCCTCGTGTCACTCTGATGTTCACATTACATCGGAACTAAAATGATTTCTGCCAAAAACATCCACCAGAGAGGGAAACAAAACTTTGATCAGACTTTTCCTGCGTATTGGAAATTCAGTTTATAATCATGTTGCAGAGTTGCCAGAGTGCTTCTGCAAGGACCCTCTACAAAAACAATAAGATAAAAAAATTAAAATTAAATTTAAAATTAGCCCTGAAACAAAATGTCCTCAAGTGTGAGCTCTGGACTCCGCATCAAATTGAAATTTCTTACCCTCAAATACAGTATGGAGGTGTTGAAGATCATCTGCTGAGCAAGCATCTATGAGAGCATAAATTCCCGGTCTCAAAGCTGTATCAATTTCCCTGTAAATTAGTAAGTAAACATATAAATATTACTGCTTACAAGTGGTGCTAAATTTTGACGAAGGAATAAATATGGAGATTGTACTATGCTTTTAATTATGACAACCAAGTTCAAAATGAGATGCCAGAAGCCTACCTTCTGATGCCTGTGTTAAGGGGACCATATCCTGAATAGGTCCATATGTAACTAGATAAAAATAGAGAACAATGCCGGCCAAAAACATCCTTCTGCTGCCTCATCTGCAAAATAGTGAAAGAAAACCAATGAGGAATGGAAACTTGATTTGGAATAAGGTTTCTTGAACACCTAAAGAAAACATAAGACAAGCCATTATTAGAAGTCTAGCCAAACATGAGCACGATAGATTTATTGTATGCAGGTGTAATTGTCCATGGGTTGAGTCCAAAACATGATAATCGGAATATCCTGAGAATTGCAGGCAGTAGACAAAACCACTAAATTGTGGAAGGATGAGGAATTTTCTACCAAGTAACAGCCCTTGTTAAATAGGCATACTGCTGCTGCTGCATCTACTTCTTGTCATAGAATAAAACCAAAATATGAAAAAACTATTTGGATGAAGTCTGGTCCAAATGATAAGGAACAGGTTCTGTAGATAAGTTAGATTTCCTCCACGTGAAACTGATTAGCGCACCAAATTAGGCTCACACAGTAACTACACCATCCATGAATGTATTAGATTTCTCCACATGGAAGCTGATGGGTAGACCAAATGAGGTGCACACGTTAATTGCAGCTGATGGGCGGAACAAACGAGGTTCACACGCTAATCCCACCACCCTAAATGAAATCAACCAAGGAGCAATACGTTGGCTTTGAAGCAGCAAAACAATATTGGCATTTTGCATCTATTGACAAAGAGGTATATGAAGGAACAAATCAGTGGATTGACTAATGGAATTCTCAAGATAAAGATAACTGTGGCTTTTCCAAAGAATTACTTCAGCTCTCTCACTCCCTCTGACTATCTAGATATCTATACACAATTGAAGCAAGGACACATGGCATTTATGTTCGGAACAATGGTGTTAAGAACTGGATGTAGTGGTTAAGGGAGTTTAGTTGGTCATATTGTCCCTCCAGAGGATTAAAACTGAGGCCATTATAGATAAGACATCTGCACTCCAAAAAAAGCAAGCTTACAAGAAGGAACCATCCACAAGGAAGGTACCCTGTGAACTCTAGCCCCAGTGCCAACTTGTTTGTTGGAGATGTCCCATGAATGGCAGTCAGCTGGAGCTTATTCCATAACTTATAGCATAGCAATATCAAAGAAATGTTTCAAGCAAGACTAGCCAGAAACTTGACTGCTTGGAAGGGAAAATGGGGTGGAAGATCTGGAACACTATAGCTCTGTTTTCAGCCTCAGATGCCATGTCTAAAAATCAGTCATCACAGGCTATATCTCCATGTCTGAATAGCAATATAAACTCTCAAAAAGAAAAAACGGTTCGTGTGGCTTACTTCGCTTTAGATAATTTGAATGTGTACAGAAGAGAAGCACGTCTCTAATCAGTTTAAAAGAACAAAACAAACCTCTTCATAAATTCTCCGGAGAAAAGAAGCACATTTCACTGCTTCTTGTACTTTCCATGCAAAGTAACTTTCTCCGACAACTGTAGAAGTATCTACCATCTCCAAACAATGAAGAAGAACAGAAACCGAATCTTCAAGTAGAGCAACACACTGCTCAGTCTCACTACAAAATTCCATAAATCAATGTGATTAATATCATATGAAAAGAGGGGAAAGAGAAAAAACCAAAGGCAACAAAAATACTCAAATGAATTTGTAATTATGGTTAAAAATCAAAGAGGAGGCATACTTTTTGTGATGCTTAAGGACAGTACACAGTAATCGGCAACATGCAGCAAATAAATCTATCGAGAACTGTCGGTCCACAACACAGGAATTCATGCCTTCTACAATGTCAGTATCTTGATTATCCAATAACCTCAGAGAATTAGGTACAGCAGGAGCTTCAGAAATTCTAAGCTGGAAAAAATTCTGAAATAGTGCAGCTGGTATGCGCAAGGACTGCCCAACTTGGCAGGAATCCAATTGGTACATAGCATGTTTTCCTAAAACTCTTGTAAGTACCTCGACACACATAAGAATGACTGATCCCGGATCAGGATCAGCATTACCTTTATTAGAGATTATATTTGTATAGAAGATCAATGGACCCTGCAAGTGTAGAATGATGTTGAACAGGCAGGCAACTAAGCTCTGAATGTGTCTTTTAACAACACTCAAACGTTTGCGTCCTACAAAGCAAGTTGACATCAGAATAATGGTGCAGTTGATACCAAAGAGAATATGCACTGATAAAAACAATCAGTAAACATGAAGACACCATTTTCAAGAACACCACACTGTCGTATGTAAACATCAATGCTGTTAAAAACATCCACATCCAAATGATTGTCCACATGCAACCAAAACAAACTCATTCCAAATGCCATGGGAAACTACATTGCTCAGTTTCAAATGTTATAAACAGATGGAATGGGGATGATATAGATTGATTTGATGTGAAGACATGCAATTCTGTTAAAACCTACCATCACCTACTCCACCTACGACACCTACCACCACCTACTACCACCTACTACACACCTACCACTACCACCTACTACCACCTACTCCACTACATCTCCTATATAAGGAGCCCCTCACCATTTGTAATTAATAACATACATCAATCAATAATACATCAATTTTAACATGGTATCAAAGCAGGTTTAGAATCTAGTATTTTCGCTTCCCCGACGGGCGGCAACCTCACCTTAGCCGCCCGCCGGACCTCAACCTAGTCTGCTTGTTTTTTTACACATACCTTCTTCCATAATTAAGCTCTTCTCTGCCTTTACAATGGCTGCCAACGAAGACCAAGTTTTTCCATACCCATCCTCCACACAGACCACATACCAGCTCATATACACAAGAGATGCTTGATATCTCTCTCTCTCTCTCTGCACCTGGTCTCTCTCTCTCTGGCATGAACTGGTTCGGAGATGAAGAGATCACACGCACACACACATGCATCTGCTCTCGGGCTCTCTCTCTCTCTCTATCACATGCAAGCAAATCTCTTCAAAACTGCCATGGACGTTGCTGCTGTTCGAGGGAAATCTCTCTCTCGCCTTTTCTCTTTCACCCTCCTTTCTTCGTCACTCAGCCCAGCCCCCACAGACTTCGGAGAGAGAGGAAGAGAATCACATGGCTTCTTCCACCTCCATCTCCCTCATGCTGCTCCTCATCGCCGTCGTCGCTGGCGCATCATCGGCGATCACTTTTTCCGACGAGAATCCGATCAGGACAGTCGTATCGGATGCTCTTCTTCGCGACTTCGAGACCTCCGTTCTCAAAGTCATCGGCCACTGTCGTCACACCCTCTCCTTTGCTCGATTCGCCCACAGGTATGGAAAGAGCTACGAGACTCCCGAAGAAATGAAGCTACGGTTCTCGATTTTCTCGGAGAACTTGAAGCTCATCAAATCGCACAACAAACAGAAACATCTCCCTCTAAACCATCTAAGGTTCCTGACTGGGTAAGGAAATCTGAATCTGCAAGCAACAAAAATCATAACTTGGATACTGAAAATTCATCAGAACATGCTGGTTCTCCACCACATCCCACACCGATTTCTTCAGAACTTCCACATGATCATTCTGATTGATGTTACTTTCTCTCTCTCATTTTTTCACTTTCCCACCGACCGGGCACATGCTTTCGCCATTAATATATTCTTATTATTATTATTTAAAACAATATATATATATATATATATACACAAACAAATACCACACCCATTGCGGTTTTTCACAACACCCGTGCCATGCTGCAAAACAGATATATAATATATATATCAAATCATGGTCCATACATTGAGTCACCATCTCTCTTTCACTCTCTCTCACTCACATGCGGGAAACAGAGTTTCTCTCTCTCCCCTTCTCTCCACTTTATCACATGGGTTTTGTCCCCCTCTTTTCGTTTCTTTTTATTTTACTATTCTCTACCGATTTGAATATCACCTTTCTTTTTTTTTTCTTTTTTTATTCCTTTACCATTCACACACACAAAAAAAAAAAAAAAAAAAAAAAAAAGATGACCTGCACATCAAACTCCTTTTATTCATGTCGGGGCTCCCCCCGTTCACCATTTTTACACCAAAAAAAAAAAAAAAAAAAAAAAAAAAAAAAAAAAAAAAAAAAAAAAAAAAAAAAAAAAAAAAAAAAAAAAAAAAAAGACCTGGCTATCGCTGTTGGACCTCGACCTGGTAGAAGACCAGTTTTATGCGGGTTCATATGTCTCGGATCCGTTTCTGACGAGACCTCTTAAGCATCCACGTGTGAGCAGACACATGTTGGACGCTTGTGCGTGTGCACGCAGTCTTATGGTAGTCTTGTCTTGTGACTATTGTAGAAACTACATACCGAATTTAATTAAATCATTATGTGGACCAGGTCTCCTACAAGTACCTTGTCGGACCCCTCTAAAAATTTCCACCCTCAAAGGTGAATTTGTATAAACTCCTAATTCTTTCCAAAACAAGAGTCGTGCCATATAATAATAAGGGTACCGTGTCTCCAATGGGCTTACATCAATTAAGGTCGAGTGCTACTTCTTTCTATAATAAAATTAGGGTGCCATCCATAAACAACAGCTTGCTCTATTCTATAATAAGGACTAAAATGGCTTAGACCCATGTTTGATCTGGTCGTTTTAATAGCATCCCGAGGCAGCAATTGATCGCGTTAGATACTGACCTCGGATTATACTTATATAATTTTAATAACACAGAAATCTGAGAAGAGCTGAGCTTTGGTAGCATAAACAAACCAGATTGAAATCCTTATTTCTCGTATCTTTTGTAACGACCGTTTTCATTACTGTGTCAGCTAGAGCGTGCAAATCTGAATTTAGCACTCATGTCAACCAACCCTTCATCTGAAATGCTACAAAATTCCACATTAACATTTATTCGAGCTTCTCGTTCCTTCCCCGACTTCATGATGCTACCCAGGGAATATATGGCCTTCGTTCGTGGATTCCTAGTAGGTCTGCTCACTCTCTTATCACTGACTATATATGCATCCACTTGATGTCATACTGGTCTTGGTAAAAGAAAATTAGCTAAAATCTGTTAAGGAGAGGAGTTAAATTTTCTTTTAAGATTACTAGGGCTGTTGGCACAATTCAACCGGTAATTTGTGAGCACAGTACTGAACTCAACCGGCAAGACCTCTCGAGTTCTCTTGACATCCAGAATTAGCAGACTTTCCGATTCGCCGACGTGAGTGTCTTCTTCACTTTACGAGAAGTTGAGAGCAAGTATATATATATAGAAATAGCTAAAGGCGGAATAATCTTGAAGTGTCACATCCAGTACAGAATGGCATATTACTTTAGAAAGTATTGTTTAGAATTTGTCGAGAACCTCCACTGACCTGTACTCTCTTGGAATCAAATTTTTGCTCACAAACCTTATTTTAGTTGTGCTATATCTGCTGGGCTTTCCTCAGCACGTAGGACAAATAAGTCGAGGTCATCTATTTGGCAGATGTGATCCGAGTTATACGTACGCGTGGTTCCAACAATCTTGTGACTCTGCTGGGATTTCCAGACGTTCAAGATATATATAAAGAGTTTTAATGCGGCGAAAGTAGAGATTAAGTGTTCGACTTTAAACGGTCGGAAAATTTAAGTGGTAGCTGAAGCGTAAGAAAGCCCTGAGGCGGATCGAGATCATCTCTCGACTCTCTGAAGTCTCGGGCATATAATGCCATACAATACCGTGCGGTATAATGCGAAAGAAATATTACCCTGGCCGGGAATTACAATATAGCTCCCGGTGATATATTAAGTGAAACCGTCGGCTCGGCGCGTAGGAAACACGGAGGCAACCATCAAAGGCCGGCCAGGACGGAGGCAAGAAGAAGAGACCGGCGGCAGGAGGTAGAGAAGAAAAATCTCGCCTGTGGATGTGGTTGTTTTTTTTTTTTTTTTTGATGTAAATGGTGATCGGGGTGAGCCCCAAGCATGAATAAATGAGTTTGGTGTGCAGTTCGTCTGCTTGCTTCTTCTTCTTTCTTCTTCTTTTTTTTTTTTTTTTTCTTTTTTTTTTGCAAATAGAAATGAATAATGGAAAAAAAGAGATAAAAATAAAGTGCAATATGAATAAAAAAACAGAGATTGAAGACATATATATTAAGAAGTCACTCATAGAAGTGAATTTTCAAAACGAGAGAGAGAGGAAAAACATGAGCAGAATCCCTCGGGTCATGCAGTGCTTATTTGTTTCTTTATTATTTTTTGTTTTTTATGAATCCCACGTGTTTAGTGTGATGAAATAACCAATTTGCATATATTGTGGGGTTTGTTTTTTTTTTATTGTGTTTTTTTATGTAATTAATATAATATTGGTTTTAATATATTTGATAATATTTTTATAGAGTAGGGCGTTTTAGCATTGTGCAATAATATGAATTAGTTTTCTCGGTCTCAAAAGGTCCGTGAAAGTTGAAAAAAATTGAGATGAGGGTAGTAATTTATGTAACAATTCTAATCAGATATTCAATTGGATCATGTGGAAGTTCTGATGAAATCTCGGTGTGGGTAGTATGGGTGGTGTGTGAGATATTCTCTTGAATAGGTTGTGATAATTTTTCTAGTCCCCTATCCAGAAATATGATATTTTTGTTGCTGTGGCAGTATTCTAGATTTCTCTTACCAGTCTTAGGAACTCTTAGCATGGTTTAGAGGAGATGTTTCTGTTTGTTGTGCCGATCTTGATGACGGTGCTTCAAGTTCTCGAGAAATCTCCGAGGGAACGTAGCTTCACATTCTTACGGGAGCTCTCGTAGCTTATTTCCATACCTGTGGTAGGAATCGAGCAAAGACAGTGTTAGAGATTGACTGAATCATTTTTTTACCATGACCGAAATAGGGACAATAAGAACCACATATAACCCTTATATTATTTTTCTCACAATCTCTCCAATAAATATCAAAATCATGATATTGTGTGACGAACGAAGGTGGCCGAATGAACTTTGTGGATAGTACGGACTGGTCAATCGAGGTCGCGAAGAAGAGCGTCCGATACGACTGTCCTGATCGGATTCTCGTCGGGAAAAAAAGTGTCGACGATCGACCTGCGCAAAGCAGCGAGACGACCGGCGATGGTGCCCTACCTCAAAAC